ACAGTGCCCAAGAGAGTTGTTCAAGCCCCATGACCGACCGGGGGAAAAAAAAAAAAAAGGATTGTATCTAGTAAGCTTGAGGCTTTTTTTTTTTTTTTTCTGCTTATGTGGTGCTGAGGAATCAAACCCAGGGCTTCATGTATGCTAGGCAAGCAATCTATCACTAAACCACATTCCCAGCCCTAAGCCTTCGTTTCTTGATCTTTAGAATTAAGGCATATCCTGCCTTGTCTGGAAAGACAGTTCACTGCTAAGGGCAAGGAAACAGATAAAAAGGTGCTTGTTTAATCTGAGGGTGAACTGATGAGTGTCTGGAAAACTGAAAATAAAGACCAGGAAAGACAATTGACTACTTTTTTTGGTAGTTGGCTTTAAAAAAAATTTAAAAAGGGGGCTGGGAAGGTGGCTTAGTGGTAGAGCGCCTACCTTGCATGCATGAGGCCTTGGGTTCGATTCCTCAGCACCACATAAGCAAAAAGAAAAAACCCCAAAGTGGCGCTGTGGCTCAAGTGGTAGAGCGCTAGCCTTGAGCTGAAGAGCTGAGGGACAGAGCCCAGGCCCAGAGTTCAGGCCTCACAACCAGACCCCTCCAAAAAAAATTTTTAAAAAGATACTTTTATTGTTATCGTTAAGGTGTTGTATAGAGAGAGGTTACTATTTCATAAGCTAGTATATTTCTTTTTTTTTTTTTGACAGTGTGTCCCTTCCTTCATGTTCAGCTTCTTTGAAAAGATTTTTTTGTGTGTGCTAATCCGGGGCTTGATTACAGGGCCTAGATGCTGTCCTTAACTTTTTTGCTCAAGGCTAGTAGCACTCTACCACTTGAGCCATATATCCACTTCTGGCTTTTTTGGGTAGTTAATTAGAGATAAGAATCTCATGGACTTTCCTTCTCAAATCTTAAATCTTGCATAGTGCTAAGCCAGGTGCCTGTGGCTCACACCTGTAATTCTTGCTACTCAGGAGGCTGAGATCTGAGGATCTCGGTTCAAAGCCAGCCTGAACAGGAAAGTCCATGAGACTCTTATCCCCAATAAACCACCAGAAAACCATAAGTACTGCTGTGGCTCAAGTGATAGAGCGCTCACTTTGAGCTGAAGAGCTGAGGGACAGCGCCCAGGCCCAGATTTCAAGCCCACAACCGACAAGAGACAAAAAAAGTCATGCATAGTTCTTAGATTAGTTTGCACAGGTTAAGTATACATTTAATGTAGAATTTACTGTTTAAAGTTTTCTAAAGAAACTAGAGGCCTGTACTTGTTAATCCCCATGCTCAGGAGCCCAAGGCTGGAGAGTTGCAGATAAGAACTGGACTATCTCAATGCCCCTAAGAGGATTAATTCCATAAGTGTTTTAAATAGAAGAGGCCTGGAACTGAGAACCACCAAAACTGTGACTTAGTGAAATACTTTGAACTATGCAGTTAGGAGAAAATTTGGTTGCTTTAATGAAATACTGAGTCTTAAAACCTAAACTACTTTTAATATCAATGGTTCTCTTGTTTACTAAAATGTTTACCTAGATCTGTATTGTTTTATAAAACCTTTACATTTTAGGTAATGTACTTTGCTTTGAAGTATTAAAATACGTTTTCCTGGTTTAAGTTTCTGGTTCATTTTGTTTCCCTTTGGATGTTTCTATTTAATGATCAATAATCAAAGTGTGCACATTGTTTTTTAAAAGCCATTCTTGTCTTTCTTTGTAGGTGTTTCTGATCTAGGTGAGTAATTACATGTATTTTACATTTAAAGATATTGCCTTGGATTTTAAAAGACTAGTCTTTCATCATATCTATGACTCATATGTTAAGCCATTTAAATAATAGCAAGTAGAATCATGTTACATTTGATAAATCTAAATTGGATGTTTGAACAGCTATGTATTCTTAGAAACAAACATATTTCAAGTGATTGGAAACCTGTGTATGTAAGAGGTATGTGTATATGTATATATAAATTACATATGTTTATTTGGGTTATTATTTTAGATAATTGAAAACATTAAAAAGCAGGGAGAAATTTTAATAAACTCTCATGGAACCTAACTTTAGCAATTACCCACCCATACCCAGTTTTGTCTTATATTCTTTTATTTTTTTGTCAGTCATGGAGCTTGAACTCTCAGGGCTTGGGTTTTGTCCCTGTGCTCTTCAGCTCAAGGCTAGCACTCTACCACTTGAGCCACAGTGCCACTTCTGTTTATGTGGTCCTGAGGAATTGAACCCTAGGCAGGCACTCTACCACTAAGCCATATTCCCAGCCCTTGTCTTATATTCTTAATTAAAACTTCATAAGATGAAATTGAGTTGTTTGTTCAGGTCAATTTCCAAAGAAGTTCCACACATTGAATATTTTCCATGAATTTTTGTTGTTGTTGTTGGTGGTGGTCAGGGGGCTTGAACTCTGGGCCTGGGTGCTGTCCCTGAGCTCTTCAGTTCAGGGCAAGCGCTCTACCACTTGAGCCACATCACCACTTCCTGTTTCCTGGTGGTTAATTGGACATAAGTGTCTCACAGATGTTCTTGCTGAATCTCGATACTCAGATCTCAGCCTCCTGAGTAGGATTACAGGTGTGAGCCATTACAGATTGTCCATGAATTTTAATACCATCTTTCTTTTTAATTTATTGTGGAATTGAATCATTTGTCTTATAGAATTCTCCACATTTTATATTTTGATATTGGAGCCATGTTCTTAATTTGTGTTATATATTAGAACACTGTGGAATGTGCAACATAAAAAGATTCTGCATCATTTGTGCCTAAATGTGAACATTTGCACATGAATGTTTATAAAAGCTCCACAAGTGATTCTTTTGAGCATCTTTGATTGCAGATTACTATCCTAGATAATATATGTGGGGTTTGTTGGGTTTTTTTGTCCAGTCCTGGGGCTTAAACTCAGGGTGCTGTCCCCGAGTCTCTGTGCTCAAGGCGAGGGCTCTACCACTTGAGCTACAGCGCAACATCTGGCCTTTTCTGAGTAGTTTACTGGAGATAAAAGTCTCATGGGCTTTCCTGCCCGGCCTGGCTTCCAGTCACGATCCTCAGATCTCAGTCTCCAGAACAGCTAGGATTACAGGCATGAGCCACTGGTGCCCAGCTGATAATATATGTTTACGAAGAGAAGCAACACTCTTGTAGGGAAACATATGAAAATATTAATTTGATGGGAATTTTAGTAGAAAACAGCCTTATATTGGATACCTTTTTGACTAATGATAGTTACATGTGAAAGAAAGGCTAGAAGTGATTGCATCTGTAGACTTTGTCTTTAGAAGCAAAATTAAACTAGACAGTCAGATAACAATTAGGTCAGATTAGGATTAATTTGGGCTCCTAGAAGAGAACTAATTATTATGTCTATATTACTTTGCTTGGAATTGACAAAACTTTAGTTTTTCTACATTACCCACTTCTATTTGCGTTAGTGAATTTAAATTTCAAGTTAGCTGCCATTTGCTATAAAAAGAAATGAAAAGCTGTAACATTAATCGCACATGAAGCAAATTCTCTTTTATAGACTTATAATTTTGGTAAAGTTATTAACTTTTTAATGTGGTTATCTTCTTAGCTGATAAACTTTCAACTGATGATCTAAACTCCCTAATTGCTCACGCACATCGTCGCATTGACCAGCTAAATAGAGAGCTAGCGCAACAGAAAGCCATAGAAAAACAACACATCGCCTTAGCCTTGGAACAACAAAAGGCAGAAGAAAAGCGAGCATTTGACGCTGCAGTGGCAAAAGCATTAGAACGCCACAGAGATGAAATACAGGCCGAACAGGACAAAAAGGTAGAAGTGAAAATCATTGACATATAAACTGAATCTAACTTGATTGTCTTCTGCAGATAATACTAGCAAGTCATTGATTCACTAGATATGTCATGCTGATCTTGTTTTTTGTTTTTCTGCCAGTGTTGTTAGGTGATTAAAAATAGATGAAAGAATATCATGGATCATGCATATCAGGTACTGAATATGATGTCCATAGTCTGATTTAGGAATCTGACTACTTAACCTACCCTCAAAGCTCTTTTTTCCTACCTGCCAGACCCCAAACATCCTCCTGGCATTGCAGTCACTTTGCTGCCCTTGACATCTTGCTCAGCTTGTCAAGTGCTGGCATGCCTGGGATTGGTTTTGAAAGCTTTTCTCCATCTGAACCATCTCTCCTAGTGCTATCTAATCCTGTGGCTTTGGAGTTTACCCTTAATAAGATTCTTAAGCTCTGAATTCTGTTTTGACTTTAGGTCCCAAACTAGCAGCCTACTTTCTACTTCCATATCTTTACCTTGGTTTTAAACAGTCACTTTAAATTCAACAATATTCAGGAGCTGGGAAGGTGGCTCAGTGATAGAGTGCTTGCCTTGCAAGCATAAGGCCCTATATTCAATTCCTTAGTACCACATAAGCAGAAAAAGCTGGAAGTGGCACTATGGCTAGTGGTAGAGTGCTAGACTTGAGTTGAAGAGCTGAGGGACAACACCCAGGCCCAGAGTTCAGGCCCCATGACCAAACACACACACACACACACAAAATGTTCAAAACATTTCTTGATTTACTTCAACCTATCTCCAAGACACTCAGCTTGTTTAAATAAATCACCCTCTACCCAATTGTTCAAGCCAGAAAATGCTTGGTTAATCTTTACCAATAGTTCAAGTTACCATCATGGCAGTTTGTTTTGTTTTGTTTTTCATATGTGTGGGATTTATACATGTGTGGGATTTCACTGTTACATCTCCACACATACTCTATTCAAATCAATCTCATCCCCTCTATCACATTATACCCACCTACCCATAGCATCACCTGTACATTTCTTTGCTTTGTTTTCATAGCTGTAAACAATCTATTTCAGTAGTATTTAGCCTTCTTTATTTTACTAGCCTGCTAGTCCCTCCCCACTGACAGTCTACTTTTGAGTTTCTTAATTCTTCCTCATGTATTTGCAGTGTGTCACATGGTTATTTACCCCCTGCTTTTCTTGGCTTGTGTTTTACCTTTTCTTTCCTTTTCCTTCCCACCCTCCTTTCTGTGTCTCTCCCTCTCTCCTAATATTGGGACTTGAACTCAGGCCCTTGTATTTGGCTTTTGCTCAATGCTGGTGCCTTATCATTTGAGTCACATGACTTCTAGCCTTTTGCTGGTTAATAAGAAACCCTTGGATTTGTGTGCATACACTGGCTTTGAATTTTGATCTTCAGATCTCAGCCTCCTGAGTCGGTAGATTTAGAAATGAGCCACCAGTTCCTAATGTTCACATTCTTTTTCCATTTTCCCCTCCCTTTCTCTTCCTCAGGCTCTTTGTTTGATTCAAGTTTTATTTTTAGTCATATAAATAATTACATATGTGTATGTATGTGCAACATACATATGTATTTATGTGTGTGTATTTGTATGTGTAATGTCCACAAACATAGGTCTTTTAGGTCTAGCTTCCACATATAAGTGAAAACATGCTATTTTCTTTTTGAGCTTGGCTTATTTTGCTCAATGTGCAGTCTTCTAGTTGCATCCATTTTTCTGCATCCAACTTGTACATAGTTGTTATTAAATATACTGAGTACCCAATTTGCTTAATCTACATTCCATTTTTTTTCTTTAGGCCCTGGGCCTTTTGCTTGTTAGGCAGACATTCTATCTCTGTGCCACATCTCCAGCTCTTTTTTATGTAATTTCAGGGCTTCATGCTCTCCTTTAGCTTTTCAATGGAAGGCTTGTGCTCTACAATTTGAGTCACAACTCCACCTCCACTTTTTGTTGGTTAATTTGAGATAGGAGTTTTATGGACTTTGCTGCCTGGACTGGCTTTGAACAGTGATTTAGATCTTAACTTCCTGAATAGCTAGGATTATGGGCATGAGCTACTAGTTCCTGGTTGTGCTTTTTTTTTTTTTTTTTTTTTTAAAGGATATTTTATTTGTGAACAAACTGTACAGAGGGGTCCATGATGACCTCTCCACTTTAGGTTTCCACTCATAGCTAGTATAGGAAGACAGACAGCAGACAGGCACCAATGAACTAATTTCGGGAGGAGTCTCAAACTTCCTTGGCTGTCCTTGAACCACAGTGTCTTGACCTCAGCCTCCTAGTAGATAGACTAAGTTTTACTTTATTTTTGTGACAAGATCTTGTTATCTAGCTCAGGCTGGTCTTGAACTCTATCCTTCTGCCTTAGTCTTCCCAATGCTGGTATTATAGGTATATGCTACCATATCTGGTTCAAAAATTTCAAAATCTTTTTTTTTTGTTGTTGTTGCAGGACTTGAACTCATGCCCTGGGCGCTGTCCCTGAGCTCTTTTGCTCAAGGCTAGTGCTCTACTACTTTGAGCCACAGTACCACTCCCAGTTTTCTAACTGGAGATAAGAGTCTCACAGATTTATCTGCCTGGGCTGGTTTTGAACTGTGTTCCTCAGATCTCAGCCTCTTCAGTAGTTAGGATTATAGATGTGATCCATCAGTGTCTGGCCAAAATTCCAATTTTTTTTTTTTTTGGTCGGTTGTGGGGCTTGAACTCTGGGCCTGGGTGCTGTCCCTCAGCTCTTCATCTCAAGGCTAGCACTCTACCACTTGAGCCCACAGCACCACTTTCAGGTTTTTCTGTTTATGTGGTGCTGAGGAATCAAACCCAGGGCTTCATGTATGCTAGGCAAGCAATCTATCACTAAACCACATTCCCAGCCCTAAGCCTTCGTTTCTTGATCTTTAGAATTAAGGCATATCCTGCCTTGTCTGGAAAGACAGTTCACTGCTAAGGGCAAGGAAACAGATAAAAAGGTGCTTGTTTAATCTGAGGGTGAACTGATGAGTGTCTGGAAAACTGAAAATAAAGACCAGGAAAGACAATTGACTACTTTTTTTGGTAGTTGGCTTTAAAAAAAATTTAAAAAGGGGGCTGGGAAGGTGGCTTAGTGGTAGAGCGCCTACCTTGCATGCATGAGGCCTTGGGTTCGATTCCTCAGCACCACATAAGCAAAAAGAAAAAACCCCAAAGTGGCGCTGTGGCTCAAGTGGTAGAGCGCTAGCCTTGAGCTGAAGAGCTGAGGGACAGAGCCCAGGCCCAGAGTTCAGGCCTCACAACCAGACCCCTCCAAAAAAAATTTTTAAAAAGATACTTTTATTGTTATCGTTAAGGTGTTGTATAGAGAGAGGTTACTATTTCATAAGCTAGTATATTTCTTTTTTTTTTTTTGACAGTGTGTCCCTTCCTTCATGTTCAGCTTCTTTGAAAAGATTTTTTTGTGTGTGCTAATCCGGGGCTTGATTACAGGGCCTAGATGCTGTCCTTAACTTTTTTGCTCAAGGCTAGTAGCACTCTACCACTTGAGCCATATATCCACTTCTGGCTTTTTTGGGTAGTTAATTAGAGATAAGAATCTCATGGACTTTCCTTCTCAAATCTTAAATCTTGCATAGTGCTAAGCCAGGTGCCTGTGGCTCACACCTGTAATTCTTGCTACTCAGGAGGCTGAGATCTGAGGATCTCGGTTCAAAGCCAGCCTGAACAGGAAAGTCCATGAGACTCTTATCCCCAATAAACCACCAGAAAACCATAAGTACTGCTGTGGCTCAAGTGATAGAGCGCTCACTTTGAGCTGAAGAGCTGAGGGACAGCGCCCAGGCCCAGATTTCAAGCCCACAACCGACAAGAGACAAAAAAAGTCATGCATAGTTCTTAGATTAGTTTGCACAGGTTAAGTATACATTTAATGTAGAATTTACTGTTTAAAGTTTTCTAAAGAAACTAGAGGCCTGTACTTGTTAATCCCCATGCTCAGGAGCCCAAGGCTGGAGAGTTGCAGATAAGAACTGGACTATCTCAATGCCCCTAAGAGGATTAATTCCATAAGTGTTTTAAATAGAAGAGGCCTGGAACTGAGAACCACCAAAACTGTGACTTAGTGAAATACTTTGAACTATGCAGTTAGGAGAAAATTTGGTTGCTTTAATGAAATACTGAGTCTTAAAACCTAAACTACTTTTAATATCAATGGTTCTCTTGTTTACTAAAATGTTTACCTAGATCTGTATTGTTTTATAAAACCTTTACATTTTAGGTAATGTACTTTGCTTTGAAGTATTAAAATACGTTTTCCTGGTTTAAGTTTCTGGTTCATTTTGTTTCCCTTTGGATGTTTCTATTTAATGATCAATAATCAAAGTGTGCACATTGTTTTTTAAAAGCCATTCTTGTCTTTCTTTGTAGGTGTTTCTGATCTAGGTGAGTAATTACATGTATTTTACATTTAAAGATATTGCCTTGGATTTTAAAAGACTAGTCTTTCATCATATCTATGACTCATATGTTAAGCCATTTAAATAATAGCAAGTAGAATCATGTTACATTTGATAAATCTAAATTGGATGTTTGAACAGCTATGTATTCTTAGAAACAAACATATTTCAAGTGATTGGAAACCTGTGTATGTAAGAGGTATGTGTATATGTATATATAAATTACATATGTTTATTTGGGTTATTATTTTAGATAATTGAAAACATTAAAAAGCAGGGAGAAATTTTAATAAACTCTCATGGAACCTAACTTTAGCAATTACCCACCCATACCCAGTTTTGTCTTATATTCTTTTATTTTTTTGTCAGTCATGGAGCTTGAACTCTCAGGGCTTGGGTTTTGTCCCTGTGCTCTTCAGCTCAAGGCTAGCACTCTACCACTTGAGCCACAGTGCCACTTCTGTTTATGTGGTCCTGAGGAATTGAACCCTAGGCAGGCACTCTACCACTAAGCCATATTCCCAGCCCTTGTCTTATATTCTTAATTAAAACTTCATAAGATGAAATTGAGTTGTTTGTTCAGGTCAATTTCCAAAGAAGTTCCACACATTGAATATTTTCCATGAATTTTTGTTGTTGTTGTTGGTGGTGGTCAGGGGGCTTGAACTCTGGGCCTGGGTGCTGTCCCTGAGCTCTTCAGTTCAGGGCAAGCGCTCTACCACTTGAGCCACATCACCACTTCCTGTTTCCTGGTGGTTAATTGGACATAAGTGTCTCACAGATGTTCTTGCTGAATCTCGATACTCAGATCTCAGCCTCCTGAGTAGGATTACAGGTGTGAGCCATTACAGATTGTCCATGAATTTTAATACCATCTTTCTTTTTAATTTATTGTGGAATTGAATCATTTGTCTTATAGAATTCTCCACATTTTATATTTTGATATTGGAGCCATGTTCTTAATTTGTGTTATATATTAGAACACTGTGGAATGTGCAACATAAAAAGATTCTGCATCATTTGTGCCTAAATGTGAACATTTGCACATGAATGTTTATAAAAGCTCCACAAGTGATTCTTTTGAGCATCTTTGATTGCAGATTACTATCCTAGATAATATATGTGGGGTTTGTTGGGTTTTTTTGTCCAGTCCTGGGGCTTAAACTCAGGGTGCTGTCCCCGAGTCTCTGTGCTCAAGGCGAGGGCTCTACCACTTGAGCTACAGCGCAACATCTGGCCTTTTCTGAGTAGTTTACTGGAGATAAAAGTCTCATGGGCTTTCCTGCCCGGCCTGGCTTCCAGTCACGATCCTCAGATCTCAGTCTCCAGAACAGCTAGGATTACAGGCATGAGCCACTGGTGCCCAGCTGATAATATATGTTTACGAAGAGAAGCAACACTCTTGTAGGGAAACATATGAAAATATTAATTTGATGGGAATTTTAGTAGAAAACAGCCTTATATTGGATACCTTTTTGACTAATGATAGTTACATGTGAAAGAAAGGCTAGAAGTGATTGCATCTGTAGACTTTGTCTTTAGAAGCAAAATTAAACTAGACAGTCAGATAACAATTAGGTCAGATTAGGATTAATTTGGGCTCCTAGAAGAGAACTAATTATTATGTCTATATTACTTTGCTTGGAATTGACAAAACTTTAGTTTTTCTACATTACCCACTTCTATTTGCGTTAGTGAATTTAAATTTCAAGTTAGCTGCCATTTGCTATAAAAAGAAATGAAAAGCTGTAACATTAATCGCACATGAAGCAAATTCTCTTTTATAGACTTATAATTTTGGTAAAGTTATTAACTTTTTAATGTGGTTATCTTCTTAGCTGATAAACTTTCAACTGATGATCTAAACTCCCTAATTGCTCACGCACATCGTCGCATTGACCAGCTAAATAGAGAGCTAGCGCAACAGAAAGCCATAGAAAAACAACACATCGCCTTAGCCTTGGAACAACAAAAGGCAGAAGAAAAGCGAGCATTTGACGCTGCAGTGGCAAAAGCATTAGAACGCCACAGAGATGAAATACAGGCCGAACAGGACAAAAAGGTAGAAGTGAAAATCATTGACATATAAACTGAATCTAACTTGATTGTCTTCTGCAGATAATACTAGCAAGTCATTGATTCACTAGATATGTCATGCTGATCTTGTTTTTTGTTTTTCTGCCAGTGTTGTTAGGTGATTAAAAATAGATGAAAGAATATCATGGATCATGCATATCAGGTACTGAATATGATGTCCATAGTCTGATTTAGGAATCTGACTACTTAACCTACCCTCAAAGCTCTTTTTTCCTACCTGCCAGACCCCAAACATCCTCCTGGCATTGCAGTCACTTTGCTGCCCTTGACATCTTGCTCAGCTTGTCAAGTGCTGGCATGCCTGGGATTGGTTTTGAAAGCTTTTCTCCATCTGAACCATCTCTCCTAGTGCTATCTAATCCTGTGGCTTTGGAGTTTACCCTTAATAAGATTCTTAAGCTCTGAATTCTGTTTTGACTTTAGGTCCCAAACTAGCAGCCTACTTTCTACTTCCATATCTTTACCTTGGTTTTAAACAGTCACTTTAAATTCAACAATATTCAGGAGCTGGGAAGGTGGCTCAGTGATAGAGTGCTTGCCTTGCAAGCATAAGGCCCTATATTCAATTCCTTAGTACCACATAAGCAGAAAAAGCTGGAAGTGGCACTATGGCTAGTGGTAGAGTGCTAGACTTGAGTTGAAGAGCTGAGGGACAACACCCAGGCCCAGAGTTCAGGCCCCATGACCAAACACACACACACACACACAAAATGTTCAAAACATTTCTTGATTTACTTCAACCTATCTCCAAGACACTCAGCTTGTTTAAATAAATCACCCTCTACCCAATTGTTCAAGCCAGAAAATGCTTGGTTAATCTTTACCAATAGTTCAAGTTACCATCATGGCAGTTTGTTTTGTTTTGTTTTTCATATGTGTGGGATTTATACATGTGTGGGATTTCACTGTTACATCTCCACACATACTCTATTCAAATCAATCTCATCCCCTCTATCACATTATACCCACCTACCCATAGCATCACCTGTACATTTCTTTGCTTTGTTTTCATAGCTGTAAACAATCTATTTCAGTAGTATTTAGCCTTCTTTATTTTACTAGCCTGCTAGTCCCTCCCCACTGACAGTCTACTTTTGAGTTTCTTAATTCTTCCTCATGTATTTGCAGTGTGTCACATGGTTATTTACCCCCTGCTTTTCTTGGCTTGTGTTTTACCTTTTCTTTCCTTTTCCTTCCCACCCTCCTTTCTGTGTCTCTCCCTCTCTCCTAATATTGGGACTTGAACTCAGGCCCTTGTATTTGGCTTTTGCTCAATGCTGGTGCCTTATCATTTGAGTCACATGACTTCTAGCCTTTTGCTGGTTAATAAGAAACCCTTGGATTTGTGTGCATACACTGGCTTTGAATTTTGATCTTCAGATCTCAGCCTCCTGAGTCGGTAGATTTAGAAATGAGCCACCAGTTCCTAATGTTCACATTCTTTTTCCATTTTCCCCTCCCTTTCTCTTCCTCAGGCTCTTTGTTTGATTCAAGTTTTATTTTTAGTCATATAAATAATTACATATGTGTATGTATGTGCAACATACATATGTATTTATGTGTGTGTATTTGTATGTGTAATGTCCACAAACATAGGTCTTTTAGGTCTAGCTTCCACATATAAGTGAAAACATGCTATTTTCTTTTTGAGCTTGGCTTATTTTGCTCAATGTGCAGTCTTCTAGTTGCATCCATTTTTCTGCATCCAACTTGTACATAGTTGTTATTAAATATACTGAGTACCCAATTTGCTTAATCTACATTCCATTTTTTTTCTTTAGGCCCTGGGCCTTTTGCTTGTTAGGCAGACATTCTATCTCTGTGCCACATCTCCAGCTCTTTTTTATGTAATTTCAGGGCTTCATGCTCTCCTTTAGCTTTTCAATGGAAGGCTTGTGCTCTACAATTTGAGTCACAACTCCACCTCCACTTTTTGTTGGTTAATTTGAGATAGGAGTTTTATGGACTTTGCTGCCTGGACTGGCTTTGAACAGTGATTTAGATCTTAACTTCCTGAATAGCTAGGATTATGGGCATGAGCTACTAGTTCCTGGTTGTGCTTTTTTTTTTTTTTTTTTTTTTAAAGGATATTTTATTTGTGAACAAACTGTACAGAGGGGTCCATGATGACCTCTCCACTTTAGGTTTCCACTCATAGCTAGTATAGGAAGACAGACAGCAGACAGGCACCAATGAACTAATTTCGGGAGGAGTCTCAAACTTCCTTGGCTGTCCTTGAACCACAGTGTCTTGACCTCAGCCTCCTAGTAGATAGACTAAGTTTTACTTTATTTTTGTGACAAGATCTTGTTATCTAGCTCAGGCTGGTCTTGAACTCTATCCTTCTGCCTTAGTCTTCCCAATGCTGGTATTATAGGTATATGCTACCATATCTGGTTCAAAAATTTCAAAATCTTTTTTTTTTGTTGTTGTTGCAGGACTTGAACTCATGCCCTGGGCGCTGTCCCTGAGCTCTTTTGCTCAAGGCTAGTGCTCTACTACTTTGAGCCACAGTACCACTCCCAGTTTTCTAACTGGAGATAAGAGTCTCACAGATTTATCTGCCTGGGCTGGTTTTGAACTGTGTTCCTCAGATCTCAGCCTCTTCAGTAGTTAGGATTATAGATGTGATCCATCAGTGTCTGGCCAAAATTCCAATTTTTTTTTTTTTTGGTCGGTTGTGGGGCTTGAACTCTGGGCCTGGGTGCTGTCCCTCAGCTCTTCATCTCAAGGCTAGTGCTCTACCACTTGAGCCACAGCACCACTTCTGGTTTTCTGGAGATAAGAGTCTCGTGGACTTTCCTACCTGGGCTTGCTTTGAATCTTGATCCTCAGGTCTCAGCCACCTGAGTAACTAGAATTTCAGGTGTGGCTATTAGTCAATGCCCAGTTATCAACTCCATTTTTTCCCCTCAGAAACAATATAATAAATTGATGAATCCACAATGACAGTGCATAAGAATTTTTGAAGTGCCAGGCACCAGTGGCTGTCCCTGTAGGAACCTGAGATCTGAGGATCAAGATTCAAAGCAAGCCCAGGCAGGAAAGTCCACCACCCCAAATCCAGAAGTGAAGCTGGGCTTTGAGCGAAAAGGCTCAGAGAAAGTGCCTAGTTCCTGAGTTTAAGCACCAGGACCAGCACCAAAAAAAAAAGAAATAATTTATAGTAATTGTAATATAGTCTAGTGTGTGTGTGTGTAAATATACACATGTATAGTAATTGTTAAAAGATCTGTTATATGACTCAAGGCAATTCAGAGGCAAGCCATATATATATATATTTTTTAATTTTTTAATTTTCTTTACTTTTTGACGGTCATGGGGCTTGAACTCTGGGCCTGAGCTCTTCAGCTCAAGGCTAGTACTCTACTACTTGAGCTACAGAGCCCATTTCCAGTCTTTTCTGTTTATGTGGTACTGAGGAATCAAGCCCAGGGCCTCATGCATGTGAGGCAATCACTCTACAATTGAGCCACCTTCCCAGCCCCTCGTATTTTTTGGTTTGATATGGCCCATATTGAATCTAAACTCATGTCAAAATAAGCTATTTCAGGCAAGGCACAATAGCACACACCTAATAATCCTAACTACTGAGAAAATAGAAGGAGAAAATAGTGGCTTGAAGTCAGTCTGAGACCCCATCTCAGCCAATAAAAAGCCCTGTGTTGGCACACACTTGTCAGTCATCCCAGTTATATGGGAAGGATATATAGAATCAAGGTCCGTGCTAGCCAGAAATAAATCTTAAAAAATAGCTAAGGCAAGCTAGGTGCCAGTGGCTCCCATTTGTAATCCTTGTTATTCAAGAAGGTGAGATCTGAGGATTGCAGCTTGAAGCCTGCCCAGGCAGGAAATTCTGGGAGATTCTTGTCTTTAATCACCAAAAAGCCAGAAGTGGAACAGTGGCTCAAGCGGTAGAATGCCACCTTTGAGTAAAAATGCTAAGGGACAAGCTGGGCGCCGGTGGCTCACACCTGAAATCCTAGCTACTCAGGAGGCTGAGATCTGAGGATCACAGTTCAAAGCTAGCCCGGGCAGAAAAGTCTGTGAGACTCTTATCTCCAGTAAGCCACTAGAAAACCAGAAGTGGTGCTGTGGCTCAAATGGTAGAGCACTAGCCTTGAGCTGAAGGACAGTGCCCAGGCCCAGAGTTCAAGCCCCACAACCAACACACACACACACACACACACACACACACACACTCACACACACTCACACACAAAACTAAGGGACTGTGAGGTCCTGATTACAGGCATACAAAATAAATAAACAATAAGAGGCACTGTAAATGTCTGGAGGTGTGGCACAGAGGTAGAGTATCTTTCTTGCAAGTTTGAGTCCCTAAGCTCAAACCCCAAACTGATAATGAAGAAAAGTTGGATTTTATATTAAACAATGTGGACATTCAATGGAGGATTTTGGTACTATTTTTTTGCCACAGATGTGTGACCTTGAGTTGGTTTCCAGTGTTAAGATTTCTGATTGGTATAAGAAGCAGAATACAGACTGTGTACAGAGGTTGAGGCCACAGGAGGCTGTCATCATTGTCTCATTAGGTCCTGCCATTTTCCTACAGGTATATGTGGAGACTCAAGAACGAATCATTACTGTGTTTGCTTTTGCAGGTAGAGGAAGTCAGAGATGCCATGGAGAATGAAATGAGAACCCAGCTTCGTCGACAGGCAGCTGCCCACACTGATCACTTACGAGATGTTCTTAGGGTGCAAGAACAGGAACTAAAGTATGAATATGACAAGGTGGGGACCCACTGTGAAGGACAAACTTCTCTTAAGCTCTCTTTGCACTTATGTTATTAGGTTTTCATTTAGGGTGGAGAGAATAGGGGGTGGCACTGGGGATTAAATCCAGGGCCTCATGTATGCTAGGGAAGCAATGTAGGAGTTATACCCCTAGCTCTTCTTTTTTCCTTTTAATGTACTCTGAGGTTGTTAAGGAATAGAGAAAAATTTATGGGAAGTGGAGCTCTTGTATATCTGCAGGACTGTTCATTTTTGCATAACAGTGCCTGTTATTAGATTTTTTTTTTTTTTGTTGTCGGTGGTAGGGCTTGAACTCTGCGTCTGGGCACTGTCCCTCAGCTCTTCAGCTCACGGTGAGTGCTCTACCACTTGAGCCAAAGCACCACTTCTGGTTTTCTGGTGGCTTATTGGACATGAGTTTCATGTACTTTACTGCCTGGGCTGGCTTTGAACTGTGATCCTCAGATCTGTCTTCTGAGTAGGATTACAGGCATGAGCCACCAGCACCTGGTGATAATCAGATGTTTTATGTATGTGTTCACAAAGATGCACATATATGTAGTTTTATATTTCAGTGTATATGTACAGATAAATCCTAGTTGGAGTCTTCACACTTTATAGTTTGTTTGTCTTAAGAAGGAATGAGGTGGGGGGAGGCTGGGAAGGGATGTGAAGGGTAAACAAAAGGAGGAGGCTGCAATGCTTGGTATGAAATGTACGCATTATCCTGCCCATGTAATTGTAACCCCTCTGTACAGTATCTTCACAAATAAAAAAAAAAAAGAAGGAATGAGGCTTGGCAAATAAAGGAAACCTAGGAAATTAAAATTTATGCCCACATGAAAACGTATTTTAAATTCTATTGGGTGGACATTTTGTTTTTGGGGGTTTTTGTCAATCATGGGGCTTGAAATCTGAGCCTGAGTGCTTTCCCTCAGCTCTTCAGCACAAGGCGAGAGCACTCTACCACTTGAGCTACAGTACAGTGCCACTTCCAGTTTTCTGGTGGTATTTATTTATTTTTTTGGGGGGTCCGGTCGTGGGGCCTGAACTCTGGGCCTGGGCGCTGTCCCTCAGCTCTTCAGCTCAAGGTTAGCGCTCTACCACTTGAGCCAAAGCGCCACTTCTGGTTTTTTTCTTTTTTGCTTATGTGGTGCTGAGGAATTGAACCCAGGCCTCAGGCATGCAAGGCAAGCACTCTACCACTGAGCCACCTTCCCAGCCCCTTTCTGGTGGTTTTTATTGGAGACGAGTTTCACGGACTTTCCTGCCTGGGCTGGCATTGAACCATGATCTTCAGATCTCAGCCTCCTGAGTAGCCAGGATTACAGGCATGAGCCACTGGCACCTGGCTGGGTGGACTTTTTTTTTTTTCAGTTAGTATGCAAAGAATGTAGAATATATTTTATGATGTTTATTTAGCAACAGAGTAGTTTCTAAAGTTGAAGATTTAAAGGCTGACTGTAAAAGCCTTGTTTTTCTAGTGTGCTTTCTTTAATATTAGGCTCTAACAAAATTTTTAGAGAATTTTAAATCAAATATAAGTGGGGAAATTTTTGATACCTTACAATACAGGAGTTTCATGATGACTATTACGAGATTTTAAAGACTAGAGGTTCAGGAGGTGTAGTAGTTGCTGGCAAGTTACATTTATTTTCTCTGTACATTCTTTTATTTTAGGATCTGTCTGAGAAACTCTCTGAAAAAGAATTAGAGTTCCGTCGTCGCAGTCAAGAGCAAGTTGATAGCTTTACTCTGGATATAAACACCGCCTATGCAAGATTAAGAGGAATTGAGCAGGCTGTTCAGAGTGAGCATTATCTATCATAGCACCTACTTAGAGAACATTTTCTTTTTTTTGTCAGTCGTAGGGCTTGAACACAGGGCCTGGGCACTGTCCCTCTGTGATCAAGGCTAACACTCTACCACTTGATCCACAGCACCACTTTGTTTTGTAGTTTCACAGTTTTCCTGTCCAGGCTGGCTTTGAACTGTGTTCCTCAGATCTCAGCCTCCGAAGCAGTTAGGATTACAGGTGTGAGCCATTGGCACCTGTTTAGAGAACATTTTCTTAAGAGTAATTTCTTGTTAAAAGGTTAGTGGAGGACATGTGCAGATGCTATCCCTATAATTTGCAAATTTTTCTTCATTCATTGGAAAGTTGGCTCCAGATTTGACAGGTTTGGATATGGAAGGAGGAAATTAGAAAAGAGGATCTAAAAATGAAATCTAAAAAACATGTATGAGTGCCATTTTCAAGGCAATTTACACTATACTCTATGCTTATGCAGTAGTGGAGCTAAATATTAGTGTGGCCCTGAGCTAACTTCTACGGTCCCCAGAGGGTTACCTGGAGGTAATTTGCTGTCTCCTGTCCAAATACATAGTTATGTTGAGGCCTTTATGTGCCACATTGAAAGAAACATGTTTTAACAATGGATGTGTTGACAAAAGAGACTTTGGAATTCCTTTGGGATCTTTTTTGTTCTGTAACAATGAAAATAAGCTCAGTACTCAGGAAATTTTAAGACCTAGTGTTAATCTAGTAAGTTCATTTGAAGTCTTTGACTTTTTTGTGGCAGTGGTGGCCTAAACAGAAGTTTTAGCCTTCATGTTTTTCTCACTTACCAAAGATTAAAACCATTTGATTTAAAACAGCTTGCAAGCTGGGTACTAGTGGTTCATGCCTATGATCCTAGCTACTGAAGAGCTTGAGATCTGAGGATCATGTTTTTGAACTCAGTTCTGGACATGAAAGTCCATGAGACTTTTATTTCCAATTAAACACATAAAAGCTGGAAGTGGATCTGTGGCTTAAGTGGTAGAGTGCTAGCCTTAAGCACAAAAGTTCAGGGACAGCACCCAGGCCCAGAGTTCAAGTCCTATGAATGACAAAAAGAGCTTGTAGATTGAAATGACTTCTGTGTACTATTTAACCTGAAATTTTTGTCTCACAATAAGGAATTTGGGATGGAGACTTACACTGTGCATATATATCCCTCTGTTTTCTCCATGACCTTAGTAAAAAAAGATTGTTATGACAGCAAGAATATATAAGAAATGATAGAATGGGCTGTAGAAGGCTGTCTTGGGTCTCATCTTCCACATGTGTAGATTTAGATTATTGAAGGCACATCTGTTCTGTGAACATAAGTAATCAGGTAGAGAGAAAAGCAGTTTTGCCTTTTTTCCTCTGTAGGTCATGCAGTTGCTGAAGAAGAAGCCAGAAAAGCCCACCAACTCTGGCTTTCAGTGGAGGCATTAAAGTACAGTATGAAGACCTCATCTGCAGACAGGCGTACTATCCCGCTGGAGAATGCGGTAGAGGCCATCCGAGTCAACTGTTCTGATAATGAATTTGCCCAAGCTTTAACTGCAGCTCTTCCTCCAGAGTCCCTGACCCGGGGGGTGTACAGTGAAGAGACCCTAAGGGCCCGTTTCTATGCTGTCCAAAAACTAGCCGGAAGGGTAGCAATGATTGATGAAACCAGAAATAGCTTGTACCAGTACTTTCTCTCCTACTTGCAGTCCCTGCTCCTATTCCCGCCACAGCAACTGAAGCCACCAGCAGAACTCTGCCCTGAGGATATAAACACATTTAAATTACTGTCATATGCCTCTTATTGCATTGAGCATGGTGACCTGGAGCTAGCAGCAAAATTTGTCAATCAGCTGAAAGGGGAGTCCAGACGTGTGGCCCAGGACTGGCTGAAGGAAGCCCGAATGACCCTAGAAACTAAACAGATAGTGGAGATCCTGACAGCATATGCCAGCGCCGTAGGATTAGGAAGCACTAAAGTACACGAAGAGTAAGGTTGAGGAAAAGATGTGTAATGTCTTATTTCATGTCAAAGGAAATCAGCAGCAATATAAGGGTTTGCAACAAGGGTTCCAGAATTGTCTAGACATATAAGCAGGTTACAGTCCTGTACTTAATGTTAACACCTGTTGCATTTATCTTCTTTCCACTTGCTATCATGTCAATGAACTCCAGGAGTGCTTTCTTTGCAACTTGTGTAACATTTCCTGTTTTTCAGGTTTTACTGATCAGGCTTGTGAGCCAATCAAAATAATGTTTGTGATCCCTACTATTGATTCTGCCCTTGGAGCAAACTGAATAAAGCAACATGATGAAAACTTGAGTACCTTATCCCTTTTCAGAAAGCACCATTTCCAGTTTGTTGTGTGAACCAGTGAGCAGCAGCAGCAGATGTAGGAACTTTTGGGTCACCAGAAGTTACATACATGCTTCTTGGCTTTGAATGTATAGGTAAACTGGTTCTTGCTGGTCTAAAACAAGAGGGATGTGCAAGTTCAAATGTCACTTTACTTTCAGTTGGGGATACATTAGTCTAACAATTTTAAAGCTTGAGGGCCTTTATATGCAACCAAAACTATGTATTTACATGAAGCAGTTCTAGAACCATTGCTAGTATTGCCGTTTTCTAGCATTTGAATGCTTATTTCAGCCAGTCCTGGGGCTTGAACTGAGGATCTGGGCACTGTCGAGCTTCTTTCTTGCTCAAGGTTAGCACTCTACCACTTGGGCCACAGCACCACTTCTGGCTTTTTCTGTTTCTGTGGTACTAAGCACTCTATCACTAAGCCACATTCCCAGCCTGAATGTATTCTTTAATATAGTGAGCCTAGAATCTGAAGAAAGGGACTAATATTGTAGTGTTTCATCTCACTGCTCTAAAATGCAGAGAATTCTCATTTTACCTTGCCACCTTGGGAAGTTGCCACCTTGAATAAACACTCCTTTCATCACCATCTTTAAATAATATGGCCATTTTTCCCCCCTAAGTTTTTTGTTGTTCATGTTCATAAAATGACTCAAGGACACTTATGTGACCAGCATTTATCTGCAAAACATGAAGATGGTGGTTTTATACTTGGAATTTGTAGTGGTTACACACCTACCCTGAACTTGGGTTGACTCAAATTTCTGCATAGTGTCAGCCTTATAAGATTAGCAGTACATTATTCATTTGGTTTAGGATGATGTTAGTATTCCTTGGGTTCCCTTCCAAATATACCAACACTTACTTTTTCTGACTGGAATACTTGCTTTATGAACTTTCCACAATTTCAGAAGGTAGAAGCGCTCTGGATACCTACTGTAGTCTGTGGAGCCTTCCTAAGAGATTATAATAGGCTGTTTGGAATTCAGTGTTCTGTTCCCTTTAAAATGTCATGAAATTGCAAATGTGCAAAGTTAAAATATTTTATCTCAGCTCACCAAAAGCAACACTGGGTGGTTTAATTCTATAACAAAAGACCACTGGCTTTCAAATCTTAGTAGTTCCTTATACAGGTTATTAAGGGATGGGATGCCTTATTGTTCTTCCACATTCCAAATACAGGTGTCTTCCAGAAGTGTCCTCAGTTACCCTTTAGTGATAAAGAGATTAGAGCTCTACAACAAGACCACAGAATCAACAAATGACTAATATTGGGGAAAAGGTAGAAAAAGCCTGGGGCAGTTAAGGCACATCAGCTTAATTTCTACGGATTTCATACCACTGGCAATTGGAGATCACATATAGCCAAGTCACCACTTTCTTTACTTTTTTGTTCTCAGTCTATCTTTAAACTGGGTTGCCTTATTCTCAAACCTGATTGCTTGCAGGAGTGTCTCAACCTTTTAAAATTCATGTTTCCTTATTTAACATAAATGGATGGTAGCTTCAATGTTTGGTTTCAAAATCATAACTAAATATAATTTTAGACAGTCTTTTTAAAGTGTGCTACTCTGTATTCAAGTCCTCTACAGGCTCTGGATAAAAGCTCTCCATTTTTTTTTTTTTTTTTGTAGGTCATGGGGCTTGAACTGTGGACCTGGGCGCTGTCCCTGACCTCTTCAGGTCAAGGTGAGCGCTCTACCACTTGAGCCACAGCACCATTTCGTTTTCTGGTGGTTAATTGGAGGTAAGAGTCTCAAGGACTTTCCTTCCCTGGTCTAGCTTTGAACTGCGATCGTCAGATCTCAGCCTCCTGAGTAGCTAGGATTACAGGTGTGAGCCACTGGCACCTGGCATCTCTCCAGTTCCAGCCAGTTTTAAAGAAACTTGCCTGAACTAAGTGTAGAACAGATTAACACTAAAAGGGCTTAAGACTACGTCTGTCTTTATGGAGTCTAGTAGTTACCAGAACCATGAACTCTGGGTCTAGGTTTCATTCAGTTTGATTCATCTAGGGACAAGGAAAAGGCCAATCTATGGCCATTACAGCTTACTCATATGAGGTAAATGTAGTTTCTCTAGCTTCCTAGTTTTGTTAGATAGGTTCTGGAAGGGCTAAGTAGCTAGAATCAGTAAAGTGGCAATTGTAGGAAGAACTGCATTGGGGAAAATTTTTTAGTTTTCAAAATCTTGAGTCTTAAATCTTACTGAGCTCTGAAAAATGTTTAGACATGACCCTCTGCAGTACTAAACCCTCAGTAAAGTTACAGTGGGCAGGTTCTGCTGGGCAGCTCTTAACTGCCCGCCCCCCCCCCCCCAAGTCTTGGGGCTTAAACTCAAGGTATGAGCTGTTTTGTACAAGGCTAGCACTCTACCACAACCGCTCCATTGCTGGTTTTTATTTTGGGTAGTGAATTGGAGATAATTGAGCTGACTTTGAACTCAAATCCTCAGATCTCAGTTTCCGGAGTAGCTAGGATTACAGGTATGAACCACTACTGGCGTTGGGAGGACTAGTTGTTCATTGCCCAGAACGGTGTACCTTTCTGATTATCCTGTGTCCTACCTCATGGATTTACATCAACCAAATCAAAAACATTTCCTTTCTCTGGAAATGTTCCATTTTACCTTTAAATCTTAAGTGACTCTATAAAATTATCCTGCCTATTTATAGGCCTAGAGACTGTCATATCTGTCAGATTTCAGTCTTTTTCAAACTTTGTTGACCGTGTGACCATCAATGAAAAGTTTGCTATGATCTGCTATGCTCAGGCGTGCATGTCCATATGCACACCTTTGCGTTTTAAGTAAAAATGCGTTTTAAGTAAAAAAAAAAGATATCACAGAATTACGTGTGTTTGGACTTTTGTCTACATCATTAGAAAGTTCTAGCCATTACAAAAACTGATGTCATTTCCTGCAGCTTGAAGCATACATTGTCCTGAAGTTTAACATACTGGCACATAACTAGTTAACAGTCCAACATTTCTCCTCTGGGCTTAGTTCTTGGTGTGATGTTTATATACCAACTAATGATATTCAGTAATTGTTTAAAGTCCATGGAGTCTTGACAAATCTGATTATCATTAATACCATCTAATATCAAGAAACCATTCAATGCTCTTAAGCCTTTTTGCTTGACTTTAATATTTATTGTTAAAAGTCCCCAATCAGATGTTCTAGTGAACTAGCAATCTGCTACTTCTAATTCTGACACACCATTGAACAAGACTCCTTCCTCTCTCCCTTCTTGGGGAGTTCTGCCTTTTTTTTTCTGGTACCAGGACCTCGGTAGGGCCTGAGCTTCTTTAGCTAAAGACTAGTACTCTTCCACTTGAGCAACAGCTCCACTTCCAGCTTTTTGGGTGGTTGATTAGAGATGAGTCTCAGACTTTTCTTTCCCATGCTGGTTTTGAATTGTGATCCTCAGATCTCAGCCTGAATAGTGAGAATTACAGGCATGAGTCACTGGCATACAGCTGGCCATTGCTTCTTAGGCATTTATCTTACTTATTTACTTATTTTTACAAGTTACTCAGATAGCTTCAATAGCCTCAGATCTCATTGGCTACTTTGTGATTTTTATCATGGGGTTGCTTATATGCTATAAATGCTGGTACCTATGGCATAGTTATAAAACAATGCAATTGGAGCTGGGAAGGTAGGTCAGTGGTAGAGTACTTGCCTCACATACATGAGGCCCTGGGTTTGATTCCTCAGCACCACATAAGCAGAAAAAGCCAGAGAGGTGCTGTGACTAAAGTGGTAGAGCAGTAGCCTGAGGTGAAGAGCTGAGGGACAGAGCCCAGGCCCAGAGTTCAGGCAGGCCCCATGACCGACAAAAAAAACCCAAAACCAACCAAAAAACAACAAAAAAAATGCAACCTCTTTTAATCATCTATGCTTTTCATTAGAGTTTGCCTCCCCATATCATCTATTTAATACACATGAATTTGCTGGGCACCGGTGGCTCACCGCCTGTAATCAATCCTAGTTACTCAGGAGGCTGCGATCTGAGGATCACGGTTCAAAGCCAGCCCGGGAAGGAAAGTCCGTGACACTTATCTCCAATAAACAACCAGAAAACTGGAAGTAGCGCTGTGGCTCAAGTAGTGAAGGGCTTGCCTTGAGCACCCAAGCCCACAGTTCAAGCCCCATGACCGACAAAAAAAATAAATGCGTGAATTTAGTTGCAGCTCATGTTTTTCCTGTACCAACAGCTAAAACTGTTCTACTGCATGGGCCTTAAAAAATGACTCCTGTAGTATCAAGACCCATTGAACTCAGGACCTGATTCTTTTTTCTTTCAGTTTTTTTGTTGCCAGTCATAAGGCTTGAACTCAGGGCCTGGGTACTGTCCCTGAGCTTGTTTTGCTCAAGGCTAGCACTCTACCACTTTGAGCCATAGCACTTTTGGCTTTTTCTGTGTATGTGGTACTGAGAAATCGAACCTAGGGCTTCATGTGTGCTAGGCAAGTACTCTACCACTAAACCACATTCCAAGCCCAGAGCCACTTATTTTAATAAGATCATTCAGAAATGTAGTGCTGGAGCTGTGTCAAGATGTCTAATATTAAGGCAGTATAGGAGACAGCAAAAAGGCTGCTCCAAACTGAACAAACAATGTAGATCAACTTTAGAATCTAATAAGAAAAACCTTTCTGGGGTTGGGAAGTTGGCTCAGTGGTAGAGTGCTTGCCTCACATGCGTGAGGCCCTGGGTTCAATTCCTCAGCACCACATAAGCAGAAAAAAGCTGAAAGTAGCACTGTGGCTTAAAGTGGTAGAGCACTAGTCTTGAGCTGAGGGACAGCACCCAGGCCCAGAGTTCAGCCCCCACAACCGGCCAAAAAGAAAAAGAAAAAAAAAACCTTTCAGTACATGTTTATGAACAGAGAGGTGGAAGCCAGTGGAGGTAAAGAAGATGGGGTAGGATTGGAATAAGAATATTGAAGACATAGCT